CGCGGGGGGAAGGGGGGGGGGGGGGGGTTGGCGCTTCTTACAAAAATTCAGGGACTGGCGTACAAATTGGTTCGATAACGGTCTCGGCACAGAGTTGGATAATAAATCAAGGGATCAAAGTGCGCGGTATCGGCCGGTCTAATTTGCCTAGAAGATCGATTTTCATATACCGTCGAGCGGCTGCGGCGGTGGCGGCGGTGGCTCTGAAAGTCAAGTGACTCTCGCAAAGGGAGCTCCATCATACGGAATCGGGGACAACGCTCGGCTGGCCCTCTAGCATACACACACACACACACACACACACACAGCCCGCAATAATTTCACTCCGCGAAGCCGCGGCCATAACTCGTCAATAAAACCTGGGCGAAACGTGCACGGATACGGGCACACGCGGCGTGCCCTAACGTTTCGAACTTTATTCCGTAGCCGGTGCTCGTACGTTTCCCTTCCGAAGGGTCTCTCAAAGGGTCCGCGCGCGGCCGACTACAGGATATAAGAAACTCCCGGAAAAAGGGAAACGCATCGTTTCCCCAGCGTACGTATCGGAGCGGGGTCACGTTCCGCGGGCGGTTTTACTCTCGCGGCAAATCGCGGCCCGTTACGAGGACGGAATACGGGCGTGTAGAGAAGCGCGCATAACTTGCCGGATCGGGTTTCCGCGGATTCCTGATGGGAAATCTCGCGGCGGATCGTTCCTGAGCAGGTTCTGTCCGGCCAAGGCGTCGATAACGAGCCCCGGTAATTAGATTATCGGACGCCGTTGCGTAATCCGCGAGCTGCGCGACGATCACGAGGGCGTCGCGACGCTGGAATCGGCCGCCGGACCGGCGCGCGCGTGCTTTAATAGTCAACACTCGACGCTTTGTCCCGCCTGGATCCTTTGTTGTTGATCGGTGCTTACCGCGGAACAATGGAAACGCGACCCCGAATGGTACTCTAATTGTAAGTACACGATGCCCCGGCCGCCCGGCTCTCCCTCGCCCTCTCTTTATCTACCTCTCGTTCTCTCTCTCTCTCTCTCTCTCTCTCTCTCTCTTATCCTCTCCTACGCTCTCCTCTTGATTTTCCGGCATCCCGTTCCGACTCAGCTCTTCGGCCGATTATTGTCGTTACGCGAATTCGTTTCGCAAACGAATGTATCGTCTCGCTGGAAACAACGCGATTCTTTCTGCAGATATTTGGACGAATTTCTCTATTTAATCGGTTCACCGTTCTCCATACTGGCCACGGAAGAACGGCAACGTTTTGCTTTACTACGAGTATACTCGTAGAATGCAGCTAATCGGTTAAATTGCAATTTTAGCGATAATATATTCGTACAGTTTGAGATGTTTATAATATTTGGAGACCAAGACGAAAGAAAGAGGCGAACGATTATTAGGAAATAATTGTATGCAGCGTGAACAAGGTACAGTAAATGCTCCCTAATTGATTCTCGGCTTGGAAATAAAAATGGACAATTTGGGAAGAGCAGGTACGATTTTTTTTTTTAAATAAAAGTCCGCCTTGTTTTTATAGTCGTCGACAATCGACGACTATAACGACCTGCGAGGCTCGAATAATCGCATCCCCCTTTCCCAAGTTGTCTGTTTTTGTGTACAAGCCGAGGGTCAATTAGGGAGAATTTATTGCACTACGGTTCGTTGATCATCGCCGGATCGCTTGCTGTTCGAGACAAATAAGTAGCTCGACAAAATTTAGGACGTTTCTCGAGGAGGTCGCAACAGCTGAGAGTTCTTCTGGGCTGCGCCGGGCAGGAGCCGGCACGTCTGGCGAGACTGGAAATATTTTCAATGAAAGAACAAATTCAAATAAAGGGAGTGAAAAAAAGAAGGGACGCGAGAAAGAGAATGCGCATTGCCACCTGTTGCCAGTTTCTTGAAATAATACGAAAGCAGCGCGAATCCTGCGGAACGAAAATCTGTGCGATTGCAGTTAGGTCCCTGGATCCCATAGGTAATTTCCTCCGGATCTTCGTGGCACGAACGTAAGTTCCCTGTTATAACTTCTTACGCTGTTTACTCGCGCGGTATTAAAATAACCAGCATCTCCTCGGCCCGTGCCTTCGGAACAACAATACTTGGAACAACTTACGCCGAAAGTAATTTCCTGGTTGGAACGCGGCTCGTGGATTGACACACGAGACTCGCGCACTGATTTCCTCCTGGTCGACGATTATTTGTTTATTTGCTCGTTGGGTTAACCCGTTGCACTCGAGCGGCGACTCGGAGGCACCGCTAAAAATTATTACATAATAACGGGTTACAAAATAATTTTTACTTTGTCACGTTTGTCTGCAGAGTGTCCCATAATTATGTTAACACCCGGGCAGAGGAGATTCCTCGGGTCATCTCATACAACTTTTTCCTTTGCGAAAATGCAATCCGAGGCTTTCTTCGTGAGTTATCAACGAAAAACAGTGACCAATGAGAGGCGAGCTCAGCTGGCGCATGGCGGTCGAGCCAACGAGCGGACGACGCCCAGTTCCGTTCATTGGCTCGGCCGTTGCGCGCCAGCTGATCTCGCCTCTCATTGGTCACTGTTTTTCATTAATAACTCGTAAACGAAGCCGCGGATTGCATTTTCGCTGAGGAAAAAATTGCTTGAAATCACCTCAGGAACCTGTCGCTTCCCACTAGTGCATTTATTTTGGGACATCCTGTGTATTTAAGAGATTGTTTAAAGCGTAGTCGTTGTACGAGTTCCAAGACTCGATTTTATACGCATAAAACTATGCGTATGAACAATTATCTTGGATCTAGAGCTAAAATGGCGTCGTATGCAAAGGGTTAAAACCGGTTAGAATACGATATAGGAGGACGTCCGTTCGGATAGAAAGCGACGTTTACGGAAGAGGAAAGAAATGTAATAGAATTACAAAGTTATCGGACAAGATAAAACGGATACCGAAACGCGAAGTTGGTCGCAGATTGTAGACTCGGTTTCTAAAGGATTATGGCAGGGTTTCAGGGTTGGTCCCGATCGCGCTCGGATCAGGAGCCCGCTAATGCGAATCCGTTCTCTATTCTCTCGATCGAAGTTCCGCATCTTTGTTCACCGCGGCGACAGTGAAAGTTCCCCGTCCCCGCCCACGCCTCGCGGACCCGAATTTTGCAAGAACCTCGAAATCGCTCCGAGCAGTTTCTCTTTGTCCGGATCCGTTCTATCGAGACCATAAACAGAGAAGAGTGGTTCGGTTAACGAGCCTCGTAATTCGATGCTTCCCGACGGTATGCTGCGACAATGCAGCCGCGTGCAGGCCGCCCTCATTACTTGATCCCCGGCTCGGGACTTTTAACGAGGGCTGGCTGAATCGCCTTTTCGTTTTTCGCGTCGCCGCCCAATACTTGTAACTGCACCTCCGGGGGCATCTTTGTCTCGTTGCCTTGCTGTCTCGTTCTGCGATCGTTTTTGTCTAAACGGTCGTGTTGAGTCCGAGCGAATTAAATTCGAATATTTCGAACGCGATAACGTTTCTAAAACTGGAACGGACGAATTGAATTTTTCAGAGATGTTGGAAGGTCCGGTTCTCTGGTTTACAACGACCGAAATGTTTTTGCTTAATTTTGCTATTACTTGGAATATAGTAAACGAAAGTAAAAACGCTCGCGTCTCTTAACCCATTTTTTATCTGAGCCTCTGACGAAAATATAACAATAGCGTTACGGAAACCCGCGATAACGACGAGTTGCTGAAGTTATTTATCCAATAATTTAGTATTCGATGATTTACTGAATAATTCAGTGATTTATTCAGTGCGCTACTTGCGACAAATGTTACGATAGGACTCGTTCAAAATCAGAATAAATGTCTTATCGTTACTTTTGTAAGGTGATACTACCCCTGGCAAAAAGTATTCGTCCACCTTTTATTATTAAATTAGTGGCTGCAGCTTAACTATGCTACAATCGATTTCGATGAAATCTTCAGTGTATCAAACGCGTTATTTAAATTTCCATTTCAGTTCAAAATGATAAAAAAACGAATGTTTCTTATCTTTCGTTATCATTTTATGTGATAGCAGAATTTAAAAAAAAAGGTATGCTAGTCATTGTACCGTAAACTAGCTCCTTTAACTCTTGAAAAAAAGATTCCAGCCAGTTAGACCAGTTTGAAAAAAGTCATTGCGTTTCAAATACAAATTGTGGTCGAACACTTTTTGCCAGGGCTAAGTATCGTATTATAAAACAGTTGTAAGCTCGGATTATAAAAATTGATTTAAAATCTGATCTGCTTGCCAGTACAGCAATTTCTCTCTAATTCGCGCTCGGATCGTGCACAAAAATGCACGATTTGAGGACAGAAAGTACGATTATTCAACCCTTGCGCCTCTAATTTTATAGATCTTGACAATCGGTAACTATAAAAACGAGCTCGAATGATCGTATCTCCGCTTCTCAAAATTGTCCATTTCCGTGCGCAATCTGACCTCGAATTATGGAGAAATCGCCGTAAACGTTTCGCGCGCTGTTTCACCCCCGCGTTTCGCCCAGCGGATGGAAAACGATCGGGGCAAATTGGCATAACCGAGGGGATTATTAGTCAGTTAGTAATTAGTACGATTATTCAACCCTTGCGCCTCTAATTTTATAGATCTTGACAATCGGTAACTATAAAAACGAGCTCGAATGATCGTATCTCCGCTTCTCAAAATTGTCCATTTCCGTGCGCAATCTGACCTCGAATTATGGAGAAATCGCCGTAAACGTTTCGCGCGCTGTTTCACCCCCGCGTTTCGCCCAGCGGATGGAAAACGATCGGGGCAAATTGGCATAACCGAAGGGATTATTAGTCAGTTAGTAATTAGTACGATTATTCAACCCTTGCGTCTCTGATTTTATAGATCTTGACAATCGGTAACTATAAAAACGAGCTCGAATGATCGTATCTCCGCTTCTCAAAATTGTCCATTTTCGTGCGCAATCTGACCTCGAATTATGGAGAAATCGCCGTAAACGTTTCGCCCGCTGTTTCACCCCCGCGTTTCGCCCAGCGGATGGAAAACGATCGGGGCAAATTGGCATAATCGAGGGGGAATAATGTTCCAGGTATCATCCAGAACTCGTACATCGGTTATTACGAGGTGGCCTCCTACGATACGGCGGCCTTGAGACATCATCGTAACCGGATGCGTCGCGATGCCAGCAACGTCGTCGACGACCAGCCTCTGCTGCTCCAACTGAAGGCGCTCGACAAGTAAGTTTCTTCCCACTGGCCGGCCAAAGAAAAGTAATTCGAAACTCCGTGGCCGGCTGGTCGCGACACGTTTTCTATTTCTCGTTCTTGTTTCGCGCCCTCCCCCGAGAGAGGAAAAGCTGTTGCAGCCACGCGCGCGCGCTCCTCGCGCACCGAAACCGTCGCCAAAGGACACTCGAGAAATCGCGGCTACACACGATGGCTCTTTCTTCCGGCGGCCGATCAAAGGCCTCGCCTCTCTTTACGGTCTCGAAGCTGCTCGAGAAACCGGTGACGGAAAAATTAGACGAACCACGACCCTGTTTCCCGCGCGGCCTTCCCGCGAGCGAACGCCGGAATCGAGGGAATTAACCTTCGATGGCCCGGCTTTCTTAGCGCCGCCGTGAGCTTTTCTTTGGACGATCGCTGGATATGTCTCGTTATTCCAGTGCGTTTTCTCGTAAAGAACAATGAGATAGATCGGCGAACGCGGTCCCGCCGTTTTTAGAAAGCGATGCGAACTGGTTTCTTGCGATCTTTCCCCGGATCGTTTAGGCCGCGGTTCTGTTTAAACGTGACTTTCCTTGACCAAAGAGCATCGTACTTGGCGCTTTTCGAGATTGCCCGAGCTTCGATTCTTTTTGCCAAAGACTTTAGCAAAGAGTATTCTAGTATATGCTCTTCGGGATCGCTTGAAACTCTTGATTAAACCGTGACTCTTTTCGAGAAAGACTTATCGACAGATTTCATTTTATTCGAGAGTATTATAGCGAACGTTTCACGGGATCGTTTAGGCTTCGATTCTTCCGTCGGAGACTTTCTTCGAACGCTTCGTCAAAGAACACACGTCAAGAAACATATTCGTCTCCACGAAAAACCGCCTCTCCGGAAAACGCGGGAAAATTAGGCTGCCGATGAAAAAACGGTACAAACGACACCTCATCGGGCCACTCGATCCCGCGAAAAAATTGCATTTGACACGGTTCCCGGAAAATTAGCCCCGAATTTTCGCGGACCTAATAGAGGGAAGCGGCTGAAAGCGTCGTTAAAGGCCATTTAATTGCGTGAAATTGGCAGCGCTGTGAGAGCAACGGGGCCGATAAAAAGCAACGGGACCGTCTTCGTACGAGAATATATGTATGTAGAACGTAGGGGACGCGAAAGGTGTCCACGTGGTTCGGCGTAGGATTGAAACAGGTATATGGGAATGGCGGATCAATGATGCACGAGGCGGGCCAAGGGTCTCGCGGATCGATCCGGCGTCCACCGAAAGTAATTCCCCGCAATTATTCGAGACTCGCCGTTAATCGGAACACGATACCTGCGGGGTATCAGAGTGCCCGTAATCGTATCAGCGTGCGCGCAGCATTGTCTGGTTAGGTCAATAGGCCTAGATCCAATTAAGGTCAAGTTCGTGTAGACGGGGTCCCGTGTACGCGTGTCCGCGCGGCGGTCGTGGGGGGGCCCGCGGGGGGTTGCACAACGGGGGCGTAGATGTGCGGGTAGATTAACAGGGTTGCACGGGAATGCCTGGCACTACATCAACCGGCGAAACAAAGCTCGCTTGACATTCGAAAGCGATACACCGGCCGGAGGAGAATATACCATTGTGTCCCCCGTCTCTGTTCCGTGCGCGTCGCACGGAAAATCACGGCATACCGGGTGTCCCGGCATCGCTTTCCACCGTTTCGTAACGACCGGTCGAATCTATGGGAAAAACTGACAAGCGGACCAACAGCTCTGAAACCCCCCTACGGGCCGGGGGGTGGGGAAGGGGACGTTTCGATGAAACTTTGTGGAACAGGTCGTACGCTGGTCGGCGTACGATGTCGTTCCGCGGAATATCTCGTGCCAGCGGCCATTATTTTATGAACAATACATATTTGTCGTGCGACATGAGTTTTGTGAAAGCGTATTCCAAGCAAGCGAGTTCGGGTCGAAGCGATTGCCTCCGCGCGATCGTCACGCTTGCAGTGTAGACTTCATTTTTCTTTCTGTTTTTTTTTATTTTTGCTCTTTGTTCGAGTGCTATGTAACACCGTCTATAGGATTATTGGTGACAGCCGTAAGAGCGTAACGCGACTGGAGTATGCAATTAAATGGAAATTACGCGAAGGCGGAATTCGGTAGAAAATTTAACGGAGAAACGATGGAAATAACAGAAGAAAATAACGGGTGGATAACAGAATGTGGCTGAAAATCTACGTATACATAAACGATGTTAAAGAATACGTAATGTTGAAAAATACATAACACGTAATAATAATTAATAATACGTATTGTAATACATCATACGTAATAATATATAATACATAATGTTAGAATGTTAAAAAAATACATAAACGATGTATTCTCGGTTGGAAAAGGAAAGCATTGATTACGAAAAAGTGCGGTGAGATTTCTGCGTGGGTGGCTCGGTTTTCTTGAATGGTAAATTGACGAGCGAGAGTGTCCGATCACGGCTGGCCGTTTCTGCTGTCGATATCGAAGCTCGTTTTTCGCGAAAGCACGGGACCGCGGCGCCGGCGAAACGTTTTATCACGTTGTACGGGCCACGGCGTTAGTAACAGCAACGATGGCGCGTGTAATTGGCTCCGCAGAATTTTCCGTTGAATGAAACTAATTATGCGAGAGCAGACAGAATCAATGCGCGCGCGGGCAACAATTCGTCATCGGACGACGTTTCGGCCGGCGGCGGGGTGCCGGAACGGCGCAACAAAACGGCCGCGAAATTCCATTTTAAACCGTGCCGCCGCGCCGCGCCGACCGGCCGGCTATCAACCGGTTAATTATTCATTCCTTTCAATTACATTTCGTTTCTCGTTACGCGCCGACCATTCGCCGCGCGCGATGCTTTAATTCGGCCGCGAATATGCCATCGCCGGCCCGTGCCCGCGGAGTTTCCGTCGACGAACCGTTCCGCCCCGAACGCGTTCCGACGGCTCGCCGGAATTAATCAAGCGAGATCGCGACCGTCCGATCGCCTCGCGACGAAATCCCACGAATAAAATATCCCGACCACGGTTCAATTCTGCCTAATCGACGATCGGATAGTACGCGAAATTGCGGACAATCTGGGAAGAGGAGATACGATCGTTCGGATCTTAAAAATATATAGAATATATATAGAATATATATAGAATATATATATAGAATATATATAGAATATATATAGAATATATATAGAATATATATAGAATATATATAGAATATATACAGAATATATATAGAATATATATAGAATATATACAGAATATATATAGAATATATATAGAATATATATAGAATATATACAGAATATATATAGAATATATATAGAATATATACAGAATATATATAGAATATATATAGAATATATACAGAATATATATAGAATATATATAGAATATATACAGAATATATACAGAATATATATAGAATCGTTTTTATGGTTACGAATTGTCAACAACTATAGTAAAAACGAGATGCAAGGCACGAATAATCGTATCTCCTCTCCCCAAATTGTCCATTTTTGCGCACAAACCGAGCCCCAATTAGGGAGAATTTACTGTATTCCTCGAATCAATGTACCGGCCCGGCGAAACAGCAACGCGAAAATATCGCGGTAAGAAAACGAAAATCCATTCTGGACGAAACACGGTTGACATTCTCGCCCCAAAGTTCTACCGTACGTCACCGTTGGTTTTTTTCATTTTCTGCCGGCCGGATTCTTTACGTCCTCCTGTGGCCACGGTACTGGAGGAAACTCGCCGCGGAGTTAATAGAATTCGAGGGGAAACGAAATTGCCTTTGGCCGCGGACTCGATCAGTTTTCGAGTTTCGGTCAGGCTAGTCGGTTGCCCTTTCGATCGGCCAGCCCCCGGTGCTCCGCGGCTATACACGAGCCACGTTGACGTCATCGGCCACTTCTACAGTCCGCCAGGGTATTCTACAGTCAATTAGGATCCTCTAACAGTCCATCAGAGTATTCTACGGTCCATTAGATGGATGGATACGGTCCAGAGTAGTCTCTCCGCTAGGCTTTCCTAAAAGCCAATCCTCCAGGATTTTTTATAGTCCATCGGGATTCTTTTTTTATAGACCGACAGGATCTTATGGAGTTAACTATGATCCTCCAAATGTTCATCAGGATTTTCTAAAATCCGTCCGGATTTTTTAGAATTCATCGGAATCTTTTAAAATCCATCGGGATCTTTTAGAATCCGTTAGGATCTTGTAGCGTTCCTCAGGATTTTTTTAGAGTACATTAGAAGCTTGTAGAGCACGTCACGATATTGTAAAGTATATCGGGAGCTTGTAGACCACCATCAGGATCCTGTCGTCTTTGTCAGAATTTTCTAAAAAATATAATCCATCGGGATCTTTTAGAATCCATCGAGAATTTGTGAAGGATTTTGTAGAGTTTACCGAGATCCTCGAAAGTCCACCAGGTATGTCCTAAAATCTATCGAAGCCTCTAGAATCCATCAGGATCTTCTAGACTTAACCAGGATCCTTCGAAAGTCCATTAGGATGTTCTGAAATCTATCGAAGCCTCTAGAGTCCATCAGGATCTCTAGACTTAACCAGGATCCTTCGAAAGTCTATCAGGATGTTCTGAAATCTATCGAGACCCCTAAACTCCATCAGGATTTTTTAGAATTGATTAGGATCTTTTAGAATCCATCGGGATCTTGTGAAGGATTTTGTACAGTTTACCAAGATCCTCGAAAGTTCACCGGGATGTTCTAAAATCTGTCGAAGCCTCTAGAGTCCATCAGGATCTTTTATACTTAATCAGGATCCTTCGAAAGTCCATTCGGGTGTTCTGAAATCTATCGAAGCCTCTAGAGAGTCCATCAGGATCTTTTATTCTTAACCAGGATCCTTCGAAAATCCATTGGGACGTTCTGAGATTTATCAAGACCCCTGGAGTCCATCAGGATCTTTTAGAATCCATCGGGATCTTTCAGAATTCATCAGAATTTCTTGTCGTGTACATTATAATCTTGCAGAGTACATCGTGATCTCGTAGAGCATAA